GTCCTGACCTTGAGTGAGAACCCTAGATCTGTGGGCAACGGCTGGCCAGCCTCCTTCAACTTGGACGGCGTCAGCTTCGCTAATATGGAAAATCTTAAGAACTTAAGTTTTGATGGGGTATGTTCAGAATTTCTATATATTTCTTGTGTTACGCAATGTGAGTCAAAGCTTACTTATTGTCGAGTAATTTTTTCATGTGCTTATGTACGCGATTGTTTAATTGTTACTGTTTATCTTGGTTATCAGTTCGTGTGGCGTGTGTATGTTCTTCCTCGTGGTTGTATCTATTTGTTGTTCCTCTTGGTTGCGTAGGTTTGTTTCATTTCTTGTTTGTCTCCATGTTGTTCCTACTGGCTGTATCCTTTGTGACTGTCTTTGTCCGTTGTGGCTGTCTGTTTTGGTTATCGTATGTCTGACATTCCTCATGGCTATATCTTTGTTCCTGGTAATTATATTGTTACTAATGTCTTTGTTGTTCTTCATTTTTTCCTTGTTTTCCTTCTAGTTTGTCTGTGTTGCTCCTCGTTTTTTCTCTGTTCCTCGTGATTGTTTATCTGTTATTTCCCGTTGTTGTGTCTGTGTTGCTAATCGCTTTTGTGTATTTTTTCCTCCTATCTGTGTCTGCCTTTTTTCGAAACTGTGTGCTTGTTGTTCCTCGTAATTGTTTCTGTCTTGTTCCTCGTAGTTGTCTCTGTGTTGTTCCTCTGTTTTTTTGTGTTGTTCCGTTTTGTTGTTTCTGTGTTGTTCCTCGTGATGGCATCCATGTTGTTCCTCGTAGGTGTTTCTGTGTTGTCTCTCGTGATGGCATCCATGTTGTTCCTCGTAGGTGTTTCTGTGTTGTTCCTCGTGATGGCATCCATGTTGTTCCTCGTGATGGCATCCATGTTGTTCCTCGTGATGGCATCCATGTTGTTCCTCGTAGGTGTTTCTGTGTTGTTCCTCGTGATGGCATCCATGTTGTTCCTCGTAGGTGTTTGCGTTGTTCCTCGTGATGGCATCCATGTTGTTCCTCGTAGGTGTTTCTGTGTTGTTCCTCGTGATGGCATCCATGTTGTTCCTCGTAGGTATTTGCGTTGTTCCTAAGCTGTTTCATGTAGCCGTGTCTGTGTTGCTTCTCTTGCTTGTTTCTGTATTTTTCCTCCTGATTATATCTGTAATGTGCCTCGTGGTCGTGTGTTTGTTGCTCCTCATTGTCATATCTGTGTTTACTGATCTAAATAGTTGTGTCTATGACTCACGAAATCGTAATGACACGATTGCAAACAAACCATACCACGGGCGGGATTTGAACCCGCGGTCAGAGAGTCTGGAGTTTTGAGAGACTCTGACAGCGGGTTCAAATCCCGCCCGTGGTATGTTTTTTTTTTAGTTGTGTCTATGTCTGTTCTTCCTCGTGACTGCTGTTCCTCGTGGTTGTATTTATACTTATTGTTCCTCTTGGTTGTCAATATTTGCTCCTCATAGCTGTGTCTTGTTTTCCCTCTGGGTGTGTCTATGTTACTCCTTGTAACTCTATTTCTTGTGGTAGTATGTGTATTTGTTGTTCCTCGTGGCTGTCTTTGTGTTGTAGGTCCTCGTGATCTGTTAGTTTTTATTGATATTGTGTTTATATTCGACGTTTTATACTGACGACTATTTTTTTGGTATTGTTAAACGTATGTTTATTGGTATTTATGTTCATGTGTAGCTTATTGTAGTGTGTGCTTGTATACTACTGAATGAGCTCTAGTGTCCCTGAGAGCCTTGTCTTCTTAGATTTTACACACACTTGAGTGTTAGGTAAGACACACGTGCAACAGTTGCACGTGTGTCTTACCTAACAACCAGTCGGTATTTTATACCATTTTAATATTCACACTTGTTATGCTACGTTGAGGATACTCAAATTTTGTTTGCTTTTAAGTGAGCTAATCAGGTGTGGTTGTAAATGTGTTTCATGTGCTTGTTTTTATATATTCCTTCTATGCTTATTGAGTGCCCTTATTTTATATAAATTTATTGTATTTTTTTTTTTTTTTTGCATTTTCTTGTTGTCTTTGCTTTCCATGCACTTTCACTGTATGTAAATGATTGTGTGTGCTGACTACTAAATGTAAGTGATGTTTATATTTGATGTTTCATGACGTTCTGCAAAACGTAGGAAAATGATACTTTGGATCAAGATGGTTCGGTTCAAATGAGGCTATTCATGATTCAAAGTCAATTACAATTACGATTTCAATTACTCTTCCAGATTTTCAAATATATTTACAACAACTTGGTCTGAAAAAAATTTCAAACTACAATAACAATGACTTGATATTTTTTTTTAATATTTTCTGCAATTACTGCAAATTTTATTAATGTCAAAATTATTGTTAGAAGCTTCAGATAATAAGCAAATATTATACTTTGTACTATTCGCCTAAATGTAATTGCTTGAACACTACAAAAGCAAATCATTAGTTATAGTTACAATCAGAACTAAAGAAATGGAGAGGATATACATGTATGTACAAATGTTCACTAAATTTGTCAAAAATCCATAAAGATTGAAAATAACTAAATTAGCTTTGTATTACTGTATTAGATCGCAGACATATGTTAAATATTATACCTTTATCATTCACTACAATTTAAACAAGAAACTGCCCAAAGAAACTGTACAAAATTTCACAGCGTGTTAAATAAAGAAAATACTATTGACTTTGAAAGGTGCAAAACAACGTACGTAAGTTACATCCATTTTCCCATAATGCGATTCATTAAGATTATTCAAGCATGGAAGGTACTCATAAATTTCTTGCAGGTCCTAGTTGCGCCCTACAGGAGTAAAAAAAAAAATAATCCGGTTATCCTAAATACCCTGTTTGACGCCGCTGAGCGGCTGTGGAACCCAACATTTTTCTTGCTCGTCTCTCAGAAGGAACTTTTTTTTTTTTTTTTTTTTTTTTTTTTTTTAGAAGAATGCTTGCAATAGACCGAGGGATCAACGTATATTCTTTTTCATTAGGTGACTTCTGTTTACCTCCAGTTGACGAAGACATGAGCAAGAAAAAGGAGGGGCCTTATAGATGGATTTGACTTCGACGATTCATCCTTTTGGACAATTGCACAGACTGTTTCCTAATTATTAGATTAGCTTGCAACAAAGATTCTGATCTGAATCACCCATTCTCTTTTTCTTCTGAAAGACAGTCCAATACAAGCGATCAAAAAGAGATACCTGTGTTATGCCTATCTTCAAAAATGAATTAAGTCACAAAGCGTGACTTTGCAAATGGTCCAGAGTCAGATCGAAATGTCATCGTAAGCTCCCCTCTTCTATATGCGGGTTATTTGTGTATTGTTCCAATCACGGTATTGTGCCTTTTTGTTATCAACTTCTTCATTGTCCTGATGTTCTTGAAGACTATTTATATTGAGCTTTTTTTAATGTATCACACAGTCTGGCAATATTCTCATTTCAAGGTAAAACCAGTATATTTTTCCAGGAGGTGCTTCCTTAGGTTTGGTCCTGTACAAAGACTTCTTGGCTGCCAGTAATGCCTCCTCAATAAAATCCCCTGGATATCTCAGTTTATTGGCAATGTTGAAAATCATATTAATTTAATCATCAAAATATTCTGGGCTACATATACATAAAGTTCTCAAGAACACTGTAAGGTAAACACTCCTTTTAACCATGGATTCATGTTTAGAATTATAGTGAATGTATGCTGACACATTAGTACACTGTAAATTAATTTTTTGGTCAATACGATGGTAAAGATGGCTCAGCAGTCAAATGCAGTTTTTAATCACGTTAGTGCTTGCAGTCATCCACTGGGGTCAATACGATGGTAAAGATGGCTCAGCAGTCAAATGCAGTTTTTAATCACGTTAGTGCTTGCAGTCATCCACTGGGGTGGACAGTAGCTGAGATCACTGTGCCCAATAGTTCTGTGATGGAAAGGAAAAATAATTGAATCCTCTCATCACACATGATAAAAATGCCTTCTATAATTCAACTGATGGAACGTGCAAACTCGTTAGCTATATAATACAGTCAATTGTGTACAGTTTTAAGCAAATATTCTATACAAAATCCCCTGATTGTTCATTATCTAACGGGGCCTTGTGAGGATTTGGTGACGTTAGATCAGCGTAATGTCTAGGACAAGTGTGGAGAATTCAGTCTGTCTGGGTCGCAATACGTAGAAAATACCGGAAGGTTTAGGTTTAGACGGGTGTAGACAAGAGACATACATATACTAGCATTCAACTGTTCTTTTTTCGTTCTGAGTGTAGACTATAATAAACTGTTCCAAACGTTTCACTCGTCGGAGATTGCATTTCATCTTCTATAGTGCTGTATCTGGGAAATTCCATAGTATATGTATTAATAAGTCTGCTTAGGCCCTTCATACGAGTGAAATTACACAAGTTTATACGACTAGAAATTACATAATATCTTATATGTGAGTTTCTTATGAGAGAATAGGGAAGTCAGGTAGAATGACATATCGCCTCTGTGGTCTTAGTGTTAAGAAACAGTACAAATATCATGGAGCAGAATAGGTAAATATATTGGTAGTAGGTAGGTGGTAGGTTGAAAGACAGCAACCACCAAGGAGGTACAACCGTACTGCCAAGTGAGTGTAAAGCGGAAGCCTGTAATTGTTTTAAATGATGGTAGAATTGCTGGAGTCTTTTTTCTGTCTCATAAACATGCAAGATTTCAGGTATATCTTGCTAAATAAATAACAAAAGCACATACCGATGACATGAAAGATAAAAACAACCCGCCTTAAGCTTGACGGATTTCTCCAACTTGGAAATTGGACAAAGTCTTTGGGAATGGTTTCCAAGGGGACCAAAAAGTCAAAAGGGGAAACTCTTTTCCCTTTTATTTGGGTTGTTGTTTTTTTGCACCCTTCTATTACATTTATTAACAAGATTGATTAAAATATATATAAAAATTTTGTTTTTTTTTTTTTATATTTTATTTTTATATTCCTCTCTTAATCCATGAGAAGTGATAAGAATCGTCCTCCGAAAATAATGAGTCTCCAAGAGGCGACTAACATGTCGGGGAGAAAGGGGTTAGTAACCTCTTCTCCTGTATACATTACTTAATTTAAAAAAAAGAAACATTT